ATTGTATATATCTAATATAATTGTGAATATGAGCTTTGAGCACCCCAAATCAGATCATGCACTTTATGTGACTGCATAACCTGTTAGTCCTATCTAGTAAGGATAGCGATGGTTGCCAGACCCCTTTAAGAGCAGAGCAGAGCAGAGCAATGCTTATTAAAACAGAGGCAACTTTAAGAACACTTTAACTTGATGCGGTCAATTCATTTGCTTTCATTATAAAATTACCATCCCAAAATAGGGTCTATGAAAAATCTTGTGCAGTCTTAAAAGTGTGTCCTTCTTAGAGTATATTTTACTGTGCATTTCAATATACACAATTTTACAGCATTTTTAAACAACTTTCTGTAGCCACAAAAGTTAGATAAGAAATTATCCAGAGTGTGCTAAATAAATATGTTTGCAAACAGAAATGTACAGTCATTCTTAAATGTGACTCTTGAATAAAAGCTTTATAAACAATAACATACTTACTACAGTAATATGTTATTATAAAAAATACAGTAATTGACTGATTCAATGTATTTGATAGTTAAAATGACTACAAATTCAGGTTTTCGTCAACTCCGTCAGTTGAATATTTTGATAATATTTCATTATGATATTTTATATTTGTTGTGGAATTGTTGGTCACATGTGAAAGTGTAATCTGTCTGCTAACACGAGAATGTGTTTTGAAATGTTAAAAACATCTTGAATGCTGTTAAAGATAAAGATGAAATTATATTACACAGTCCAAGCTAAAAAAAAGCTAATTTTGTTAAAAAAGAGAAAAGTTGGGAGGTTGTATCAAAACATAGCTCAGTAGCTTAGTACATATAAGATACATAACTGTAGTTTCATTTGTCTGAGTACAAGGTTTTATTTTTTCAATTTTGCACCCTGTTTTGTCCCACTTCTCAAGAATGACTGCATAGCATAACAACTACTTACTTGATGTCTACACTACAGTACATTGACAAAACATAAGTTGGGTCATTATCACATTATTATTGATTTACATGTTATGAATGCATCACTGGCATCCTTAATCAATGCATATTTTTCACTTTATCTATCTTTTTTGGCCTCTTATTTTTCTGAATGAAACACAAACTGGTGAAATGACAAAATTTTTCTATTGTGATGTATGCAGGATTTCTCCAATCATTTAGTCTGCTAAAAGGCATAGTTCACCCAAAAATAAAAACTATGTCATTAATTACTCATCCTCATGTCGTTCCAAACTCGTAAGACCTTCGTTCATCTTCAGAACACAAATTAAGATATTTTTGATCAAATCCGAGAGCTTTTTGACCCTTCCATAGACAGCATGGGTCCTTACAAGGTCCAGAAATGTAGCAAGGACATCGGTAAAATAATCCATGTGACATCAGGGGTTAATCCGTAATTTTACGAAGCTACGAGAATACTTTTTGTGCACTAAAGAAAAAAAAACGACTTTATTCAACAATTCGTCTCCTCTGAACGTAAATTGCGTATGCTCTTTTGTGTCAGCTGTTCCACGCGGATACGCTGTTTACGTCGTAAACGCATACGCAATTTACGTTCAGTGGATACTCTCCAAAATTAGTGACGTGACATGTGACATGTGGCCAAGTATGGTGACCCATACTTGGAATTAGTGCTCTGCATTTAACCCATCCTTAGTGCACACACACAGCAAGGAGACGAATTGTTGAATAAAGTCGTTATTTTTGTTTTATTTGCGTACAAAAAGTATTCTCGTAGCTTCGTAATATTACGGATTAACCCCTGATGTCACATGGATTATTTTACCGATGTCCTTACTATGTTTCTGGGCCTTGATAGTGTAAGGACCCTTGTTGTCTATGGGAGGGTCAGAGAGCTCTCAGAATTCATCAAAAATATCTTAATTTGTGTTTCGAAGATCGTTAGTTAGTTAGAAAAAGTAACTATCCCTTTAAGATAATTAGGTAACTACGCTGCGGTTGCAAAAGATAAACCTAAACCAGTTGCGCCCACAAATTCTTACAAACGTCTTACCATTTAAAGTAAAGTATTTAACATTAAAAAATGCCACACTTCCACTTCAGTGTCAGTTAACGCAAATACCTGACTGGTCACACACCTTCACACCGCAGGGCCTGCTGCTTTAGATAAAGCACATATATAAAAGCCTCCTTCCTGTATTCAGCTGGTCATTCTCGGAAATGCCAGAGGAAACAATGGCCTGTTATCTATCCAAAAAATGGCTTAACCTCTGTGACAGCCCTATTCACGGCGCTCACAGTGCAAGGACGTTTGCAAACTTTGGAGTCTCAACAAAGCATCAAATTATGTCCCCATAGCAACCAATTCCACACTTCCAGCTTTCCTTTAGCAGGGGTTGCTATGGTTACCGGCAATAGACATAAGTCAGTCATTTAAGGGGTGTCTAGAAACCCCATTCAAACCCTGCAGTCTGCAATGTCTTTTTATTACAGACTGTGCATTGAGACAAAGGCTAATCGCGCAAGCAATCATGAGCGCAATTTGGCAATGTTGTTATCAGGATTGCCTCTCGTTCACATTCAGGGGCCGTAGAGAAGAAATGCTTATAGATATTTACTGATATGATGGTTTATTGCATCAAAAAGTATCAAAAGCCATGTAGTCGATGACGTTTGAGCATGTTAAACACTGCATTTCTTTTACTTTCAAATCAAATGTCTATATTTTAACTTGTTCACCAGTTGGGACCCAAATTGTCTGTTTTGGGGGATTTCGGTAAAATCAGCTTATAGGAAGTCGACCAGTGCTCAGCATGAGCCCACATTCATCCCAAAAACACGAGGATGTCAAACCATATGTTCATATAAACAGCACTCTACAATTCTACTGTATCAAACTTAAATGTTATGCTATGGTATAAATGCACACATTTAAATGCCATTTTCGCCTGTGATGAAAGCAAACACCAATCCTTTTTAAATGTGCCTAGTGTCTAGAAAATGAAAAGCTCAGCTCTGTTTTTAAGTGTCTTTGATGCAAAGCCTTTTATGTTCTTAAGTGCCACTGCGGTTGATGCGTCCAGGGTTACGATACCCCTGACCACACTCATGCGGAGCCGTTTCAAAGCAAAAGGAAATAATATCAAGCTATCAGATAGGCTTTTTCCACCCATAAAAGAAGAACATTTGCATTTAGTAAATACACACACACACACACACACAAAACGTAAAAACCATCATGAAGTGTTTGGAAGACTTTTTTTACATTTTTAAAAATCACCTGAATGAACACTGTGTACAAGTTGCAGGTCAATATGAATTCTACTAAAACAACCAAAAATAACAATATAGTATGTCTAAATCTCTGCTCTTTGACACTAGAACACTATCCAACAAGTGGACTAACAATTACGTCATTACTGCATAAAGCAACAGGTTGGGCTACTTACTTTCTGTCCACTGTAGAAGAAGAAACAAGACACATGCAACTAATTTGAGCCACACTGAACCCAAAACAGTAAGATCCATATCCATACTCGGATGTCATTGTGATAGTGGGCAAGCTGGCATGATCACGGTGTGTTACTCAAGCATCCTCCAGAGTGTCTGTCTGTTTGTGGCTCTCTGAGTCTTAGCATGCTCTCGTTCACATGCCCACCAATGAGGCGCAACTCTCTGTATCCTCAATACAAAGAGGCCACTGGGGATTGGTGAAGACTTAAACAGAGAGGGGCCATCAAGCATGCTGTCTGAATAATAATTAGCAGTGGATGATAACATTGGATATTAAATAAGGAACAGCAGACAAAATGCAGCTACGCAGTACTTTTCACCCTCTTGCAATCATGGCCTTCCATCCACTCCAGTCTAACGACTTCACTCAAAAAGCTCTTATTTAATGCAAAATAGACCATGCCATCTGCCAGGATTCTTGGGTAAGATTGTGCAATGCCTTCCGGCTAGAGTTTAAACAACTAGCTCACTTGCCATGAACCTTGTGCACTGGTGAATCTGTCTTTTTTTTTCTTCTGCGGTTTGTAATAATTCTCCACACAATTCTCTATTATTTTGTTTTTGTATATTCTTTCTTTCCCCTCAATTTTTATGCTTTTTAAAAAAAATTTTTTTTTAAATGAGGACTAAAATCAGAATTAATTCATTAAACAGAAAAAAATATAGATTCTTTTTGTCCATTTTGGACTATAATGAAAAGCAGAACAAAAATAAGAAAATAATAAATAGGAAATCCCTATAATAATAATAATATTTCATCTTGCAATTCTACATAGTCTACTTCTAAAAAGCAAAGAAATATAACATACATATGCATTTTATAATAAGGTGTAAATATAAGAAATCATAATTTCCTAAATAATAATAATAGGCAATTACTATAATAATAGTCATAATAATAATAATTAAAAATTATTATTTACCTTGAGTTACACATTTCAGAACTACTAAAAAGTATAAATATAACAGGCCTAGATAAGCATTAACATTGGCATTACATATGAATATACGAATATATCACCAGTTTTTGTATAATAAACCCCTCAAAACAAACGGTAATTCTGTCACTTTCCTTTATTTGCAGCTAAAAAAAATCACATCGCTATGTAAAACTAAACAGACCTAACGCTAATAGCTATTGCAAATAAGTAGCTATTCTATTCTCGTGAAATTGTTTTATTTTGAGGATCTTATTTTGTAAACGTGTGCTGTCGACAAATACACAGGCTGGCGTCTTTACTCTTCAAATGACATACATGCATGCAATAACTGCAACACAACATACACAACAGCCGTGCCTGAACAACATTTCAACGGGCATGAAGCAGCTTCCTGCATTGTGGGCGTGTCTACAGATTTTTAAAGGAATCCTAGAACTTTGATTGGTTTGCGTTTGCTTTTCTTTCCAGTGATTGGACAATTCTATCAGCTGCAATGAACTGATTGGCCGCCTGGTCTGTACTCAAATTCAAACGTTCGACCACGCACTCTGGTTTTAAACGGTATTGTAGCTCACCATCACTAGCATGTGGATGTACTGAATAGTCGTTCATTTAGATGAGTTAAAAACATGTCGTTTAAAGTCGCGAAAGCGGAATGTTTGGACTTTAGTCCAACATTTGTTTCACATTGTAATCGCGATAAACTCGGCAAGGAAAACAACACTTCAATCCCTGTGCTGAGTTTGCTTCAGTTCTCCAAGTGTCCTTTCGTGTCATTTGGGATGATCAAATTGGGATCATCAAAATCTTTGCCTTTACGAATCGAAAATCCCACCGAGGATGCAACAACGACAGTCATTGTGGATAAAATTGCAGCATCCAAAGGCTTTTCGGTTGATCAGACGTCTTTTACAATGCAGGTAAGCGTAAACAAGAAGCTGTGTGTCTAAACCTAGTGATGCTTTCCAGCTAACGTTAAACAAAGCGAAGAAAATCTGTTAATGTGGTTAAAAAAAGGTGCATATTGCATTCATGTTTAAGTAAAATGACTATCGTACTATACTATGGGAATGAGACATGTTTATTAGTGTATAAGCTACACTGAATAGGGTTTATTCAGATTACAGAATTTACACATACACAAAGCTATTTTGCAATATGTAGAGAAATAACTCACCAATAAATGAAAATTATTAATTCACCTATATCTTTTTAATTTAATAAAAACCTCACCTCACAGGACTGACGATGTCAAGCTCTTAAACTCAAGAACAGTACCATGACCCTACTCTATATGACTCCGTCACATTACATACGAGTCTGCTGAAACAATATGATTATTTTTTGTCTTACATTTAATTATTATTTACTAAGTCATTATTCACTGAAATCTCCTCCAACATAGCTTTCTGCTGTCTAAATATGAGCATGTTCAAAATTAGTGCCTTGTTATTGATTTCAAAACACATGAGAAGCAACGACATTGAGCATAGTAGTTGATGTCAAATCAGATGTGACACTTTTTGACACACTATATTTGAGTATATGCAAAGGTTGTGCTGAGAAGATTAATAATTTTGTGTAAAAAAGACCAAAATGTAACTATGGAATATTGTGCATGAGTTGAATGGGCTTCTTTTATGCTGCTTTTTGTCATTTTGAAGCTTGACAGCTCAGACAGTCCCTATTCACTTTCATAATATGGAAAAGAGCTGCATGAACATTTAGCTAAATATCTCATTTTGAGCTGCGCTGAAGAAAGTCGTAAGTTTGGAATGGCTTGAGGGAAAGTTACTTAAAAGTGCATTCTCTATTTTTTAGCCTGAAGGCAGCATTATTTTAACTGTCACTTGGACACCAGTGGAAGAAGGCGGGGTTCGAGAACTCCTCAGTTTTGTTGCAAATGGAATTGTCAAACACCAGGCGATTTTGCTTGGGAAAGCGCAGGCGACAAAGAAGAAAAAGGTAATCTCTCTCTGCCTCTGGATGTTTTATTTTTTAAATTTACACTGAGAATGGGGTAAACGTACCTATTAAGCTCACCAAAATCTACATTGAGATATTTTTAGTGCACAAGATACCGGTTTCAGTACAAGTTATGTTAATATTAATCTCTCACACAATAATATTTAAATTGATTTTAAATGACAAAAGCATTTCATCATTAAATGCAAAAAGTCTGGCTGTGGTTAATGGGTATATTTTTGTACCCTTTAAGCACACCCCTGTTCCCATTAAACTCACATCATGTTTTATTAAAAATTCTTGTTTATTTTAAACAATCTTTCTAAAGCATATGTTTTATTTGTAGGTACAGAGTCAATAAAATAAAAAAACAGAAAACTAAAATCAAGCAACAAGGCATTCAATTTGATCAGTTATATATTCAGTGAAATGTCATTCAAACACAACACCTAGACTAGTCCTTGTTCAGCTAAGTAACACATAAGTAACACAAAAATCAAATAAAAAAACAAACCTATAAAACGTTTAATTCATGGGGATGAACACGGAAACTAGCCTCATTATGAAGCCTCTTATTAAATGGATAAGGCTGGAATACACTACACGATTTTTGCCCCAAATTTCCACCATTTTACAGTCTGGAGAAGTTGACACTAGGGCTGTCAAAATAGCTGAAAAACTAAATTTGAATTTTTTACTTAAATATGTTAAACAACTATAAACAAAACAGCATCATGTATGTATGCATAGTTTAATACAAAGGACCGAAATCACACAGAGTACATTTTTCATTTAAAAACGCGAGTTGCAGTGGGATGGGGAAAAAACCTGCCATAAAGTCTCGAGGTATGTTTTTTCAAAGTTGAACTTGCATTAATTTTACATGGCTTTCTAAACATGCGGCTCCTTTGTGCGAGATGTGAGTGCAACGGTGATGGATGTCCCTCTAGAAAATGAGCGAAATATGCGTTCTGTGTGAACGGCTTGCTTTCAGTTTTGATGTAAACAAGATCTCCGCATTGATGTTCTCTTTTCCCACAATATTTGTAATTAACAACGCAGCAGCGTCGAATCTAGTGGCTTCAACTGGATAGGTTAACAAAAACATTAAAATGCAATGACACTTATATCGTCATCGCATCTCGTGCGCCACAGGGCTCTACACTTATTTTTCTTTTTAGTAGCACTTATGCTCCTAACTTAAAAAATTTAGGAGCACAGTCAAACATTTAGTAGCACCTTCTAATCAATAATCCAAAATTTGATTAAAAAAATTAGCCTTCCCTTTACGAGGTGATATTTGACTCCTTAAAGTGATTTACAGTGAAATTTTGTTTTTACATTTGTAATGGCATTTTTCTAACTTTATTAAAAGTATGTAATCTTTTGTAGAGGTGGCACAGAAGAACACAAAAGTGGCTTGTAGGTGTATTTTCAGACATTTAATGAGGATCAGAGATGGCATGAGTGCAATTAAATCTATAAATTCATGTTGAGATTAATGTTTTAAAAAAATTTGAATATAGAAATATTAAATGATTTAAAGACCTGAAAGGATACTTTAAAAATTAAACTAAAACTGCCAGCAGATGGCGACAATCACTGATTTTATCACTGAATCATTCATTCAATTGATTCATTCGAACGGCTGACTCATTCAGGAATGAAGCAAGTGACTGTCTTTATGAATGGGTAATCATGAATCACTGACTCAATAGATTCGTTTAAAAACGCAGTTCATTCATAAACGTGACGCCGCTGTGTTTGAATGGAGATGCGCAGCAGTTGAGCTGTGACTTTGTTTCAAACTATTTTCGACGACGAAATAGAGCAAAATCAGACAATAGTGTTATAGTCAGACAATGTAGGTCACTTAATATTAACTTTTTGTCTATTTAACTGTTGTATTAAATCAGTATCACATTTACAAACTCCCTTAAAAATCATTAAAAGCTGTCACTCATCTTAGTTCATCTCGATCTCACATTTATAATCAACGAAGCTCTCTACACTGCGCAATGAATCTTTTATTTACACCGTCTACACTTTGCGTATGAAAGGATTCATGAGATTTCTGCAAAATCTCAATGCTGCAAAAACACGTAGAAACCTTTGAAGCTCCCCTCAGCCATCACAATCACAAATATGATGAAGATCTGGTCAGTCGTGCTCTTATCTGGTGCTCCTAAATATTTTTTCATAGTTGCACGCAGTAGTTTTCAGTCGCAAATGCACTGTAGAGCCCTGCGCCACTGATAAGGCTGCCTCCTTAACGCACACCTAAAATTCGAATGCAACATTTTTGCATTCGAATGTGGATTTTTATTTTAAATTCGACGAATATTCGAAATTCAAAATTTTTTTTTGACAGCCCTAGTTGACACTAGTTGCCAAAGGTCAGAGCCAGTCTGCAGATTTGAGTTGACAGATTTAATAGAAAATTGCATAGTGTATGATGGTCACAGACTCTCCATCCAGTCAGAGGAGATCAAACATGTTTGATATTTTCAGCAGATTTTAAAACGCATTGTTTTCATTTGTCATGCGTCTCCTAGCAACAATGTGCACATTTCTGCGTGAGTTTGTTGTGATTGGAAGGAATTTAAAGTCTGCTAGTGTGAGATCCTCTGTCGTTTAGTGTATGATGGCCAGTTTTCTTTTGTGACTATTTACAAAGTCTGTAAGTGTATGATGCCTGGTGTTTTAAAAATCAGTTCAGATTTTAAAAGCCATGTAGTGTATTCCAGCCTTTAGTCGCTTTTTTTTTTCTGGATGGATACGACAAGTTTCTGATAGCTCCTTTGTACGGACGACATGCCTCTTTCATCTTTGGGCATAAACTATAGTTATGTCTAGACTGTGTCATCTTAAAGCTGTGAAAATTAGTTAATTATTTTGTAAAGATTAACTTAAAGTGACAACAATCAGTTAATATTTAAAGTCTGTTTATGAAGTGTACACTGAGCTTAATTGGAGCAGCAACCATTTTTAATTAATAAATATTACATGAAATTTAAAGGACAATATTTTGCTAAATAAATAATCTAGGTCATTTGAGTTTATACATAATTTAATATGAACAACTATTATTGACAACATTTATGAAATTATACTTTTATTATTGATGTCACACTGAAGCTGTGTGATTTTCATAGTAGTGCACCCTTTAAGCTCACCTTACAAAAATAATGAAATCTTTCAAAATTACAGCATTGTAAAACTACAGACCAGCAATAAACTGTCAACTTATAATATCATAGATTTAAAAATACAAGCCAGTAATGCCTGTGAAGTAATATATTAGCATAGCACACAATCGTATACAGCTAGTCAGCTAACTGTGTTCTGTAGCATCTGCGCTATTTTGCTAAAACTATCTTTTGGATCTAACTTTAATTGGGCCTATTTCCCACATCCAAGTTCCAGGTTATAATATGCAAAGGTTAAAACCTTAATCTCTTAATTTTGCAGTAAGTAGTGAAACTTACCCAAAATATAGGCTTAAACATCAAAAAAAAAAAAAAAACGCACAATACGCGCCCTCTAGCGGTGAAAATTACATATTGTGCCTTTAAGGAGCTACTCTTCTGGTGAAAGTTTTCAGACAGCTTTCAAAATAGCCACCAGACAGTGTGAACACATGGATACCAATATCTCAGCGTGCAATGGTCTTATTGACTTTGAAATTACAGGAGGTATGTAGTAACAAACACATCAATTGGTTAAGACATCAAGTACGATAACACTTTTTTTTTTTTCTTTTTATAATCGGAGCTCAGAAATGGTAGTGTGCTTAATGGGTACGTGAGCTTAATAGGTATGCTTACCCTATGTGTTTTAGTATAATGTTGAGTGCTTACAAATTCTTGATTTGCAGAAAACCTTATGGGATTCAATTAAATCCAAGAAGGGTGTCCCGGCACCCTCAAAAGAGAAGAAAGTGTCTTCAATGCCGATAAAGGCTGCAAATATGACATTTCATGTCTCACGCCAGTCGCAGTACAGAAAAGATAGAACATCCAACCCGTTGTTGCCATTAAACCAGGAACGGTTTGCCTATGGGTCCAATGCCATTAGGACGAGTGCACCATCCTCCACTCCTGAGATGTCAAAGCCTGTTTTTGTGACGGAAAAGTTTGATGATGTGCATTTGCAAAAGAACTCACCAGTGGTCGTCTTAGTACCAGCAGAGAGATTTTTGGATACACCTGGTAACAAGGATATGACTTTTTCACGTAAAGCAGAGTGCAAAGAAATCACAAGGGTTTTGAATAAAACACTCTCTCCTGCCAGCACCCCAGAGAGGTTTGGAAATCCTTTGTGCTTTCAGAGTCCACTTCCCATGATTGGACAATTTGCACAAGATCAAAGTCAAGAGCCAGAGAAACCGTCTTTGTCTGTAAAAGGCACTCTGGATGTTATAGGATCAGATCTGTCGCATGCAGTGAGTCTGCCTAATGCTTGCTCAAGCTTTGATTTTTCTGTTTCTCTTGAGTCTGAAAAACCTGATCCAGAAAGATCATTTAGAGCGACAGCAGTCATTTCACCACCAGTTGAAGTCGCTCACCCAAGGTTGACTTTCTGTGTGAAACCCAACAAAGTCATAGGCGTTGAATCAAATCATGATGCATTTAGGCTCAAGGCATTACCTTTTTGCACCGCCACAGTGACCAAGTTGAGTAAAGTGGATGATGCCCTTGTTCCTGATGGTCCCAAGAAGTTTCCTGTGAATTCTACCACAGTGACCAAAGGCAAACCAGAAGCCTCTGTTGAGAGTCCAGGCTTGCGTAAGAAGAAAACTTCCAGACGCCGGCTCTTGGAGAAGACCTTGGAGCTCTCAGAAGCTAGTAATGCAGAATCCAACGCAAGTTCTCCTGACAGTGCTTTACCTGTCATCAGCTCAGATTCAAGTCCAGATGTGGCACTAGAGTCCAAATCTTCTGTAACTTCAGTGCAGGTTACACAAGAGAAGCCAACCTCAAAGTTATCCCCTCCTGAACAGCTTTTGTCTTCTATATCTTCCATTCGACCTCAAGTTTTGACCATGGTTAGTAGCAGTCCGTCAAGTGGTCTGGAATTGGCAGCTGGTAACGTCTCTGACAAAGTGCAACCAGGTCTTTATCAGGACCAGTTTCCTGTGCAGAGTAAAAAGAGAAAAAGTGATGAGTTTTTGAGAGGTCAGTCAGAAGACGAGACAAACGTCCAACAAGCAAAAAAGTGCCGTGCTCCGACACATGCGACAGAGAGACCAAGCCATGAAAGAACGTTCACTTCAAGGTCCACATCTAGACCGCAACGCAAAGCTATAGGTAAGTCAAGTGTACTCATTGTGAATGTCATACTAAAAATCTAGTATGCATTATCAAATACACACTTGGTATACATTATTTGAGATATTTGGTCCAAAATATCTCAACATTAATGTCCAAATAATTTGGACGTTGTAGGAGTTGAGAACTTTTTTTTTTCTTCCTAAAGCTCCACCAAGCTCAAGAAAGTTCACAAAACCTCCACCAAAGAAATCCTCTCCAAAAACAACTCAAAAAGGTAAGAATGCATTGTGTTCCTTCTTTTTAGAATGACATGTCTTAAAATAAGCTTTGAATAACGTGTACTACAAGTTTAGTATGACCAAGGATACCATTTAAATGTATTTCACTCATATAGATGGCCGGTCAGTAAAGTCACTGAGCATCTCGAGTCGAAAGCCTGCAAGGATCGTGGCTGTAGCGCAGGCCAAACTTACCTTTATAAAGCCATCACAGACTGGTATGTTTTTATGGCTATTTTCTTATCATTTCTTTTGTTGTATGGCATAACTTGCTTATTGTACAATCTTGACAGCCATACCAAGGCATCCTCTGCCATTTGCTGCAAAGAACATGTTTTATGATGAGCGATGGATTGAGAAACAGGAGCGGGGCTTCACCTGGTGGATGAATTATGTTCTCACTCCTGATGATTTCAAAGTTGCTACTGAAGTTACCAAAGGTAGGTGTTTTTGTTTTCCTTCATGTAAGATTTTGAAACTTTTGCTTTTTAAGTAATTTCAGCAGCATTCTTGTAACATCTTTCTTCTTTTTATTGTGTCGACTTAGTGAATGCCTTATCATTAACTATGGGGAACGACAAATTCAATATACCCAAAGCACCAACAAAAGAAGAGATGTCTTTTAGAACCTACACAGCCCGTCAACTGCTAAACCGCCTTCGGCGAGCAGCTTGCAAGCTTTTTACGTCAGACACCATGGTAAAGGCCATCCAGAGACTGGAGCTGGAAGTAGAAGCCAAGAGACTCCTTGTGCGAAAGGACAGACATCTCTGGAAGGACATAGGTATGAGATGCAATACGATATATGTTTTGTCATTGTGAATTATGCTTGTATGACATGGGAAATCTCTTTATACAACTAAGTGTTTGTTGTAATGTTTTTGAGAAGTGTCTTATGCTCAGCAAGACTGCGTTTATTTGGTCAAAAATACAGTAAAACAGTGATTTTGTGAAATAGTATTATAATTTAAATATTTGTACTTTAATATATTTTAAAATGTGATTTAGCGCTGAATTTTCAGCATTACTACTCCAGATGATCCTTCAGAAATCATTCTAATATTCTGATTTAGTGCTAAAGAAACATGTTTTATTATCAACAGTTGCGCTGCTTAATATTTCTGTGGAAACCATGATAGGGTTGTTTTTTAGGATTCATTGATGAATAAAAAGAAATCTTTTAACATTACAAATGTCATTACTCTCAATGTTTATCAATTTAATCTGTAATACTATTAATTAAAAAACAATCATACTACTAAAAACACTCTTACTATGCTAAATATTCTAAGTATTTGTTTTAATGGGCAAATGATATTTTTTCGTTTTTCAGCAAGCCTCTTAAAGGCACAATATGTAATTTTCGCCGCTAGAGGGCGCGTATTCAAAATAGACAAAGGCAATCCGACGGGACTCAGGCAGAAATCATGTTCATGGATGAGCTAATGATTTGTTAGCGTAGTAGAATGAAGCAGGGTGAGGCTGAAAGCCGTCGAAGCGAAACGAGGCCGCTGAACGAGCGTGACACACGGCTCAAAAGCAGCGGAGCTCTTATTATGCCTCAGTCGACCGCTTCCGCTCCTTCCGGTCGTGCGTATGTGGGGGAAAAAAGCAGCGCTGTTTTATCATACTAGATACATTTGAAAGTTCTGTTATAATGCTACTCTGTGCGGTCGTCACCGGTCTAATAAAACGCACAACACATTAAAGCGTCTTTAGTGTTTTTTTCTACAAAACAAAACTGGAAATCGAGGGGTTATGACATCATTGGCAGGCGACACAGTGACACTATGGACACGGACGGTCCGTGTCACTAGTTAAAATTGCTTATTTCTCTGGATTTAAACATTCTTCGAAACATTTGGGATAATGTAAGTACACAAGTTAGCAAAATATATAACACTGTTCTAGTGGTTTATGGATATTTTAACAAAAAAATCTTACATATTGTGCCTTTAAGGTGAATCTTTTTCAGATTTTTCACCTTTTATTGTTTATTTCTCAGGTGAGCGTCAGAAAGTTCTTAACTGGCTGATATCATTCAATCCACTTTGGCTGCGAATCGGACTTGAGGTATTCATTTTTCTTTGTGAAAGCATAATGTTCATTTGTTGCTGAAAATATTACATTACATTATGATTTCATGTATGACATATCTCTTACCCATTCCTTTTTTCAGACAATCTATGGAGAGCTAATATCACTTGAAAGCAACAATGATGTCATGGGATTGGCCATGTTTATTCTTGGACGTCTCCTGTGGAACCCAGACTTAGCTGCTGAGTTCAGACACCCTAAAGTGCCTCATTTGTACAGAGATGGTAATTGAATTTGATTTGTTTAATTTTATTTAGAAATATTTCTATATTTTTTTTCATGGTGTTTATTATTTCTATTATTTCTTCTTACTTTTGCAAACAGTGTGTCTGCTACAACAGGTTCTTTATTTTTTCACTTTCACTCATCAGGCCACGAGGAGGCGCTCTCTCGCTTCACTCTAAAGAAACTAATCCTGCTGGTCTGCTTTCTGGATAAAGCCAAAGAGTCCAGACTGATCGAACATGATCCTTGTTTGTTCTGCATGGATGCTGAATTTAAGGTGCGTGCATCTATGTATATAGATATTAACCAGAAAAAAGTAGTTAAAACACAATAAGGAATTTCACACTAGTGCACTTTTTTTTCTGTATTTCCTTCCCTATAGTCAAGCAAAGATCTGCTACTGGCGTTTTCTCGGGACTTCCTCAGCGGTGAAGGCATTTTGTCACGGCACCTCAGCCACTTGGGCCTAGCAGTATCCCATGTTCAGACTCCTCTGGATGAGTTCAACTTTGCTGTGAAGAATCTTGCTGTTGATTTGAGATGTGGCATTCGTTTAGTGTATGTTTGATTTGAAAATGTTCGTTTTTGCATGTTTATTGCTCATGCGTCATAATGAAATATCATCGCTGTTGTTACCCAAGCCAATATTTAGATTTGACATTTAAAAAGCCTCCAAAATCCCATTATATACATCTTCATTAAATGTTTCTATATTTATCTTCAGACGGGTCATGGAGCTCTTCACTCTGGACTGGACTTTGTCTAGAAAGCTGCGGATACCCGCTATTAGCCGCCTGCAGAAAGTGCACAATGTTGATGTTGCACTACAGGTTCTGAAAGACAAAGGTGTTGACCTTAAAGATGAGCATGGTGAGTTTCATGACAGTAAATAACTAGCAATGCCTTTATAATCTGGGGAAAAAAACTCAAACTGAATTTGCTTCCATTATCTTAAGGAGCGAACATTGACTCCAGAGACATTGTGGATGGACACCGGGAAAAGACCCTAAACCTTCTGTGGAAAATCATATTTGCCTTCCAGGTATCAGCTAGGGCTGAATAACATATCTTCCAGTCCCCTTTTTTGGATAAATAATTAGTTTGACTGTTGCTGATTTTTATCTTTCAATATCGTATGTGTTTATGCACCAAGAGCTTGTAACACTCTAAAGAGAAAGGAAAAAATGAAATCGCATCATATGACCCCTTTAAAATACATCAGAATGTAAGGTCAATGTTTAATTTTCATAGGTGGAAGTGCTACTTGATGAGAATCAACTCAAAGAGGAAATCAGTTTCCTCAGGAAAACATGGAGGACTAAACAGAAGCTGGCCTCATTAATGGCTAACAGTGGGGTTGCAGTGACAAGGATGAAGTCAAGACAAGCATTTGAACATCCCAGCCAAAAAGTGACACTGCTCATGGACTGGGTCAGTGCTGTTTGTGAGTTCTACAACATAAAGGTGAGTCACATTAAAGAAATAGTTTACCCGTTTATTCACTCTGCAGAGAGTTAATGATACTTGGGTTGATACTTGGTTTTTTAAATAAAGTATCCTGCATAGGATCCTTCTCTGAATAAAATCTCTCCATTATTTTTCCAGGCTGAAAATTTTACGGTGTCATTCTCAGATGGTCGTATCCTGTGCTACCTCATTCATCATTACCACCCTGGTCATCTCCCTGAAGAAGAGATTCAACAGAGAACAACGCAGACCATTGAATGTGGCCATCGTGGCAGAGTGGAGCTCAATAACTCCTCGACTGACTCGGACTGCTCTTTTGAAAATTTGCCCACAATACAAACTGGTACTTTGAGTAAATTATTATTTTTTTATTTTTTTATTTTATTGTTTTTTAAATAAGATTAAGCATTCCTATAATAGTGTGGTAACTTATATAATTTAACACTGTAAATGTCTCAGAACGGTTTGCTTTTTTGCCTTGGGTTCAGAATCCCCGTCAGTGGACTTTAAAGAGCTACTTGAGAAAGAGAGAAATAACTTTCAGTTGGTGAACACTGCTGTGTCTTATCTTGGAGGGGTGCCTGCTATGATAAATCCAGAGGATATGTCCAACACTATCCCAAATGAAAAGGTAAAAATAATTGTAATCCCCTTTCACATTTTGGGTTAGCAGCAAAACGTACATAAAAAAATCTGAGGTTGTGTAGAAATACTTTTCATATTAATGTATATTTAATGTGTATTGATAAATTGTGACTTTTTTTTTTTTAACTCAGGTTGTCACATGCTACCTCTCCTTCCTCTGTGCCCGTCTTTTGGATCTCCGCAATGAAACAAGAGCAGCCCGGGTCATCCAGGGTGCATGGCGGAGATACAAGCTACAAAAGAACATTGAGCTTATTCAGGTAACGGTAGAGTTTTTCTAATTTTAAGCTGCTTGGAACCTTGCTGTGCTTAGATTTTTTGTCTTATATTGAATATGCTCTGCATGCACAGCAAAGGAACCTGTCTGCTACTAAAATTCAAGCCCTTGTGCGGAAGTTCATCTTGAGAAGAAGAATGATCAAACAGAATAAGGCAGCCATCATGATCCAAATATTCTGGAGAGGATACGTTGCACGGGAAAAGTTGAGAGGGCTGAAAAAAGAGAAACAGTTTGCTCTTCAAAATGCAGCTGCAACTGTAATTCAGGTATATTCAGGATTAAGATAATATGTAATACAGCTCATCCTGTACCGCTGTACCTAGTAAAAGTTTAATATTTCATCAGTTAGCCAATTAATAGATCAATTATAGCTCTATCTCTAGATGGCTAATCTTAATTAGAATTTTCTTGTCTTCCCATAGAAAACATACAAAGCTTGGAGGATTCAAAGTCTCCTAAAGAAAAACCATGCCGCCTCTGTAATCCAAGCAGCTTTCCAGAAGTGGCACGCAAAGAAATTGCTGGAAAGAAATGCTGCAGCCTTGTGCATTCAAGCATGGTACAGAATGCAGCGTTGTAAAACCCAGTACCTGGATATGAAAAGCAAAGCAGTTTGTGTTCAAGCATGGTTTAGAGGTCACTTTCAAAGATGCAAGTTCCAGACTTTAAAGAAAAGGCATAATGCTTCAGTTGTCATTCAGAGTGCATTCAGGGCTTACCTTGTCAGACAACACGTATCTAAAATGAAGCAAAATGCAGTTTTGATTCAGAGGTGGTTCCGAGCATGCATGCTAAGGAAAGCAGAACAGAAGAGATACTTCAAGATTAAATCGGCAGTTCTTGCTCTGCAAGCAGCTTTCCGTGGCTGGAAGGTCCAACGATCTGTGGCTCAGCGCCACCAAGCTGCAATTCTGATTCAAGCTGCTTTCAGGCGGTTTATGGCTCAAAGGCACTATTTATGTTTAAAAAGATCAGCCATTGTTCTGCAACAGCGATACAGAGCAAAAGTACTTGGAGACAAATTACGACAAGAGTATATGGCTCTTAAACTCGCTTCAGTGACAATTCAAGCAATTTGGCGAGGACGAGCTGAGAGGAAGAAGATCAGTCAACTCCACAGATTTGCCGGAATCATTCAGTCAAACTACCGTAGATATGTGGCACAGACACGGTTTTTGGAAATGAAACAGGCTGCCGTAGTCATTCAAAGAAAATACAGAGCCTTCAGAGATGGACGGAAGGTGTACGCAGAATACACTGAAATTAAAAGAGCGACCATTGTGCTACAGAGTGCTTATCGTGGCAAGAGAGCAAGACAAGAACTGCAGAAGAAAAACAAAGCAGCAACTTTGATTCAGTCTGTGATAAGAGCACATAGGTGCCATCAGAGGTTTTTAGCTCTAAAACGTGCTGCTATTGTCATTCAGCAACGCCATCGGGCTTTAGCACTTGGACGGTTGGAAAGAAGCCATTACGTCCATTTGAGGCAGGCAACTATAACTCTACAGGCCATATATCGGGGTTCCAAAGTGAGGCAAAATCTGAGACAAGAGCATCAAGCCGCTACTATCATTCAAGCTCAATTCCGAATGCATAAGGTACGCGTTGCCTTTCTTGCTGCGAAGTGTGCAGCTATCATCATACAGCAGCAATACAGAGCCTACAGAGTTGGCAAATGCATGCAAGCTACTTACTTGCAAACGAAAAATGCCGCTGTAGTTATTCAGTCAGCATTCAGGGGAATGAAAGTTCGCAACTACTTAAGAAAATCTCACCAAGCTGCAACAGTGATTCAGGCACATTTCCGTGGACATTCCCAACTCAAGAAGTACCAAAGACAACAGTGGGCCGCATCCATTTTACAGCAGCGATTCAGGGCAATGATGACTAAAAATGCTGTCGTGAAGAGCATAAAAACAGCGGCCATATGTATCCAGTCAGCTTTCCGTGGAATGATGGTGAGAAAGCAGATTGCAGAAAGGCACAAATCTGCAAAAATGATCCAGAAGACATATAGAGCATACAAGCAACGCCGTGATTACCTTGCTCTCAGAAATGCCACTATTCGTATTCAGCAACAGTATAGAGCAATTGTAAGTGCAAGGCAACAACGTAAAAGATTTTGCTCCTTGAGAGCAGCTGCCATCACCCTGCAGTCTATGTACCGCGGGATGAGATTAAGGAAAGAAATCGATAGAAAGCATAAAGCGGCCACTGTGATTCAGGCAATGTACAAAATGTACAGAACTCGAGTGCCATTCCAAGCTATGAAACTGGCTGCATTGGTCATACAGAGGCAATACAGGTGCCATCTACTGAGAAAAGAGGCGAGAGAGAACTTTTTGAAGCTACGGTGTAGTGCAATTGCAATTCAGGCAATTTACAGAGGAAACCGTGCACGCCGTGACATTGCTAGAATGAATTTTGCAGCCACAGTCATTCAACGGAAGTACCTTGCCTACAAACAAAGAAAGTGCTTTTTGTCTATCAGAGCTGCTGTTGAATTCTGTCAACGACACTATCGATCCGTTTTGGTAGCAAGGCACGATCGGAGAGATTATTTTGCTAAACGCCGAGCTGTTGTTGCAATCCAAGCAACTTTCAGAGGAATGCAGGTTCGGCGACAGATCCGAAGAGAGCATGAAGCTGCAACAATCATTCAGTCCCATGTGAGAAAACACATCCTCAAGTTGCGCTTCCAGCGACTTCGGTGGGCGGTCTGCACTGTTCAGCAGCGTTTCAGAGCTAACAAAATGATGAAACGAGAGATGGCAGCACTGCAGGAACAGAAGAGTGCTGCCTTGATTCTGCAAGCAGCCTATCGTGGCATGAAGTCCAGACAGACTGTGAAGCAAATCCATCAGGCTGCCACCACCGTTCAGGCAACTTTCAGAGCTTATAGTGCTCGTAAACGGTATTTAGCCATGAAATGCGCTGCCATTGTCATTCAGCAAAGGTACCGTGCCACAAATGTAGCGAAACAGCAGAGAAAGCATTTTCTTGAAATGTGCCAAGGTGCACTTGTTGTTCAGGCATGTTATAGAGGTCTTAAAGTTAGAAGGAAACTACTACAACAGCGTCAAGCAGCTGTCTTGATTCAGTCTTATTTTAGGAGACACAAAGAGATGGCCAAGTACCAGGCCATGAGGTTGTCCGTTATCGTTATCCAGAGCCATTACAGGTCATACACCCAGGCCAGAGCAGATCGTGAGAACTATTTATGTTTAAGAAAGTCAGCCATTGTCATTCAAGCAGCTTATCGTGGCAAGAGAGCAAGACAAGAACTGCAGAAGAAAAACAAAGCAGCAACTTTGATTCAGTCTGTGATAAGAGCACATAGGTGCCGTCAGAGGTTTTTAGCTCTAAAACGTGCTGCTATTGTCATTCAGCAACGTCATCGGGCTTTAGCACTTGGACGGTTGGAAAGAAACCATTACGTCCATTTGAGGCAGGCAACTATAACTCTACAGGCCATATGTCGGGGTTCCAAAGTGAGGCAAAATCTGAGACGAGAGCATCAAGCCGCTACTATCATTCAAGCTAAATTCCGAATGCATAAGGTACGCGTTGCCTTTCTTGCTGCGAAGTGTGCAGCTATCATCATACAGCAGCAATACAGAGCCTACAGAGTTGGCAAATGCATGCAAGCTACTTACTTGCAAACGAAAAATGCCGCTGTAGTTATTCAGTCAGCATTCAGGGGAATGAAAGTTCGCAACTACTTAAGAAAATCTCACCAAGCTGCAACAGTGATTCAGGCACATTTCCGTGGACATTCCCAACTCAAGAAGTACCAAAGACAACAGTGGGCCGCATCCATTTTACAGCAGCGATTCAGGGCAATGATGACTAAAAATGCTGTCGTGAAGAGATATGCAGCCATAAAAACAGCGGCCATATGTATCCAGTCAGCTTTCCGTGGAATGATGGTGAGAAAGCAGATCGCAGAAAGGCACAAATCTGCAAAAATGATCCAGAAGACATATAGAGCATACAAGCAACGCCGTGATTACCTTGCTCTCAGAAATGCCACTTTTCGTATTCAGCAACAGTATAGAGCAATTGTAAGTACAAGGCAACAACGTAAAAGATTTTGCTCCTTGAGAGCAGCTGCCATCACCTTGCAGTCTATGTACCGCGGGATGAGATTAAGGAAAGAAATCGATAGAAAGTATAAAGCGGCCACTGTGATTCAGGCAATGTACAAAATGTACAGAACTCGAGTGCCATTCCAAGCTATGAAACTGGCTGCATTGGTCATACAGAGGCAATACAGGTGCCATCTACTGAGAAAAGAGGCGAGAGAGAACTTTTTGAAGCTACGGTGTAGTGCAATTGCAATTCAGGCAATTTACAGAGGAAACCGTGCACGCCGTGACATTGCTAGAATGAATTTTGCAGCCACAGTCATTCAACGGAAGTACCTTGCCTACAAACAAAGAAAGTGCTTTTTGTCTATCAGAGCTGCTGTTGAATTCTGTCAACGACACTATCGATCCGTTTTGGTAGCAAGGCGCGATCGGACAGATTATTTTGCTAAACGCCGAGCTGTTGTTGCAATCCAAGCAACTTTCAGAGGAATGCAGGTTCGGCGACAGATCCGAAGAGAGCATGAAGCTGCAACAATCATTCAGTCCCATGTGAGAAAACACATCCTCAAGTTGCGCTTCCAGCGACTTCGGTGGGCGGTCTGCACTGTTCAGCAGCGTTTCAGAGCTAACAAAATGATGAAACGAGAGATGGCAGCACTGCAGGAACAGAAGAGTGCTGCCTTGATTCTGCAAGCAGCCTATCGTGGCATGAAGTCCAGACAGACTGTGAAGCAAATCCATCAGGCTGCCACCACCGTTCAGGCAACTTTCAGAGCTTATAGTGCTCGTAAACGGTATTTAGCCATGAAATGCGCTGCCATTGTCATTCAGCAAAGGTACCGTGCCACAAATGTAGCGAAACAGCAGAGAAAGCATTTTCTTGAAATGTGCCAAGGTGCATTTGTTGTTCAGGCATGTTATAGAGGTCTTAAAGTTAGAAAGAAACTACTACAACAGCGTCAAGCAGCTGTCTTGATTCAGTCTTGTTTTAGGAGACACAAAGAGATGGCTAAGTACCAGGCCATGAGGTTGTCAGCTATCGTTATCCAGAGCCATTACAGGTCATACACCCAGGCCAGAGCAGATCGTGAGAACTATCTTAGTTTAAGAAAGTCAGCCATTGTCATTCAAGCAGCCTTTCGAGGACACTCTCTAAGGAGACAACTGGCAGAAAAGCAAGAAGCATCCATCATCATACAGGCTGCTTTCCGGATGTATCAGCAGAGGTCAGCATTTAAGAGACAGCGCTGGGCAGCCAGGGTTCTCCAACAGCGATTTAGAGCCCTGAAACTTCGAGACGAGCAGATGTGTAGATACCAGCAGGCAAGAAATGCCGCTGTATGCCTGCAGAAGTCATTCAGAGGGATGAAGGGGAGAGAACTGGCCAGATGGACCAAGGCCGCAAGAACCATCCAGTCCTACCTAAGGATGGCTGTCCAACGACAACGTTTCTTGAAAGAAAAGGCTGCAGCAATCACGATTCAGTCTGCGTACAGAGGCCATTGCGCCAGAGTTCAGCATGCCAGGATGCAAGCAAGTGCAACACTCATCCAAAAGTGGTACAGATCATGTAAACTGGTCCAGAAAGATCGAAATGGTTTTGTTGCTCTTAAGCAAGCTACGCTTACCTTGCAATCTGCATTGCGTGGAATGCTAGTGAGGAGGCTTGCAAAAAGAAGGCGGGCTGCAATCAAGATTCAGTCTGCTATGCACATGCATGTACACCGCAAGCGCTACGTGTTGCTCCGCTCAAGTGTCCTGAAGTTGCAAGCTCATTACAGAATGTTTGTGGACCGGAGAAGATGCCGCAGGTTGCAGGCTGCAACTGTTACTTTCCAAAAGCATTACAGAGCTCATAGGGCAACAGTGGAGCAGAGGAGCAGTTATCTGAAGACGCTCCAGAACATAAAAATCCTTCAGGCCAGAGTGCGTGGACACATTGAGTACAGAAGATTTCAGAGATTGCGTGCAAGTGCCATCACAATTCAGGTATGCAGTTCACTATACTTGTATTCTGTCTTGTCATTTGTTTTATCCTGTATCACTTTGGAAATTCAACAGAAGTGAGTAGGAGGTTTAACTGGGAAGGCAAAACTTTTTTTTTTTTTAACCCTCAAACAGGCACATTATCGGGGGATGATTAAAAGACGCCGGTTTCAGCATCTCAAGGAATCTGTTTTGGTTATACAGAAGCATTACAGAGCTTTTCGCCTCTGCCAGAGAGAGCGTGCACAGTTTCTTCAACTGCAAAAGTCAGCTGTTCTGATACAAGTAAGCATGTAAAAACATGTAAAATTACATTTGATTAAACTTTTTCTTATTTTTTCCGTGAATCTCTAGCACCTGTTACTGCAAAAATCCTGCTTCTGTTTCTGTTTATTGTAATATACACTTTTGTGTTTCTGCTGATGATCCTATTTTAGATTTTTGGATTTAAGTGTGTATATTTGATTTTCATGTTCGGTTTATCTCTGGTTTACCTCAGACAGCATTTCGGGCTTATCAAACAAGACAACATGCTGTGCGAGCACAAGCTGCCCGGAAAATTCAGGCCTGGTTCCGAGGACGCATAGCTAGACGAAACTACATTTTAAAACAAGCTGCTGTTGCAACCATTAGTCGGTGTATTCAAGCAAGACGCCAACGTTCAAGGTAACAAATAAAGGATATTTTATTATTCTCTTCTGCTTTTAAATTGTGTCACATGGAGTCACAACATGACCATTTGTCCTCCACTCCAAGATTTCTAGCAGTCCAGCGCAGTGTCCGAGTCATTCAGCAAAGATGGAGGGAAACCCTAATTGCCAGAAAACAGCATGCTGACTTCCTGAGGTTTAGAAAGTCTGTTCTGTACATCCAGGCATTGTGGAGAGGTCAAAGAGTGAGAGATTCCATTCAAAAGGTACTTGTTCTTTTTGTGGGAATCAATATTTATTATAAAGGAATTACTAATATAATTCTGTCTTTAAGGGGCAGTCGTGTTTGACTTATACTGACACCTAGTTGTGTGGAAGCAGCATTACACTAAAGCAAAGTTTACAATTGCTGTTGTAGAAATGTGCTGTCAACTAACATTAGCATATTCCATGAGTGAAAGTATTGAATAATAATAGGAGATTACTGAGATATATTTAGTGGTATTTGGCTGGTTAAGGGATCATGACGTGACCCACTTTTTAATAAGAAAAAAAGATTGGGTGCACCTTTTAAATGTTGGTGAACTTTGCTTTGAAATGTCACACTGTTTTGTCACCAATTTGTATAAATTCCGGTAATTCAAAATAGACCTTGTGCAGTGATGACATTGCTCTGTAAATACACACTGTCTAACTAAAGTTTATTATTTGCAGATAAAAAAAGTTTCAGGGAAACCGTTATCAAATTCATTTATACAGAAATTGATGACATTATCCTGTGTAATTTTGCTTGTATTGCCAAGTATTTATTTTGGTCTGTTAGGTCTTGACTTATTCTTAAAATAATTGGCTCGATTTTGTTGTGCTACATAGAAAACTTTTGCTTTGACTTACAAAGAACTGCTGAAGCTACAGAAACAATCCTATTATTCACAAAGAACTCTGCTGAAGCAGCTATAGAAACAATCCTTTTATTCACAAATGTATTTTGACATAAATGTTGTTTAGCAACTTTTGAAATCATCACTAATCCTTCAGTCTATTCTTTTTCACAGCAAATAACAGCTGCTGTGAAGATACAGTCCGCTTTCAGAGGCTTTAGTCAAAGACGTCGATATCGCCAGCAGAGAGATGCTGCCATAATTCTACAGCGCCATTTCCGATTTTTACGCCTGGCCAGAATTAAAGAAGAAAATCTAAGACGACGACACAATGCCGCTGTCTATCTTCAGGCTTTGTGGCGTGGTTGGCTTGCGAGACAACAGGCAAGTTTTCTTTATATCTATGAGTAATGTTGTTATTGACTTGCACAAGTAATTGTGCAACTACCCCCTCAGAAGTGGAGCAGGACCTAGAAACCAAGGGCTGGAAAAAAACTAGAGGAAAAGTAAACTAGCTAGTGAAGATGAGGGGAAATCGACATTTAGAAACAGATTCCTAAATAATGTCTCATCACTTTTCAATGTTTGAAGCAAAAATTTCCAGTTTAAATAAAACAAACCCCAGCTTTTCAACATGTTTTCGGACTCTACTGGAGTTACTCTGTGAAACTACAAAATTACAAGCAAGAGGTTGCTTTTAAAGGCTCATGAAACCCCAGACAGG